TGGTCCCCTGGGTACCCCTTCATTCGTCTCCCTGCCCGCCAGCAGTGTTTTCGGTTTCAGCCTCTGTCTGGTCCTTCTTCCGGTGATCTGTTCTGTGCTTTTCGGTACTTCCCTTGCTATTTTTGGTCCGTCTTGGAGATTCAGTCATCCTTCCATTTTGGGTGTAGGCAGAGACCTCTCTGAGTGTCAAACCCTATGGTCTCTTTTCTTTCATTAGGTTGGTACAACTTGCCTTTTTTTTTTTTTTTTTGTTCTTAAACTGGATTTTTACTCAATTTTTGCGTCATTTGTTGACGGATTCACCTTATCTGATCATCCTCGACCCCGTAGTTATGCCGACGGACTGCATTCTGTACGTATGAATCCTGTTCCTTCTTTATATGAAAATTATCCTCAAAGATCCTTTTAGTTGTGATCCTGACAGAGCCTTTATCCTTCAGTTGAATTCGAACCCGCAACCTTGCGACTGTGACCTGAGAGCGCTAACCACTTGCGTTATCGACCCGCAGGTCAAATATATTTAATTATGTAATATAAATAAAGTATGCTTAAATGCGGTTTTTTTTAAAAAAAAAAAAAAAAAAAAACATAACGATAAACAAAACTAAGTTCTTGATCAAAAAACAACTAACAAGAGTTCAAGCCCTTGTTCCTAGGAAATGTAGACAAGTGTGCTTAAGTATATCAAGCTTCATAATAACTGAACAGAACAGAAAAATCAAAAAGGCCAGAACTTCCAACTTGAAAGAAAACAATGTTCTCTCCAACTTGGGAAAGAATAATGAAGGTTTATAACAGGCAGAGGCAAGTCAAGATATTAGCCAAAACTTAGAAAACAACAGTAACAAAGAAGAAGCTTCTAAACTACAAGACATAACTAATACAGTTACAGACAACAAAGGCAAAGGCAAAGAAAAAGAAACACAAATGGTAGAAAAGAAGAATATATAAAACACAACAACAGTTAACATGTGTCAAGATCCACCAAAACAAACAGAACATGTGAAACCAGGTGATCATAAAAACAAACACATAAACCACTAATCAAGTAGTACTAATAGCCAGCCAGAACCTAAACAGTGGTCAAAATTGTTTGCTAAATTAGAAAGGGGCAGAGCAACCTTTTCAACATATGCACCTAGAAAAAGAATTCATACTAGAAACGAGAATGCACTAATCTTTGAAGTACATAATTTAGAAAATATCTCTATAGCAGATATGGTGAAAGCAATGGCAGCCAAAATGGGTGAAGATCTTATAGCGGCAAAGCCTGTAATCACAAAAAATAAAAGAATACATATGGAAGTAATTTTTCCTAATAAAGAGAAACAACAATTTTATGCAGCAGAAGGCCTCACAATTCATAGTCAAACCCTCTAAGGTTACATTCCAGTGAATATTAGATGAAGCTTTTTGTCAGTTAGACTCCGAAATACCCCTATGGGCAAGAAGAAACATATTTCAGGAAAAATTAAAGAAGCCTTTTGGGATACTGGCACTATCTCATCAATCAAACCACTGGTATACAAGGAAACCTCAGTCCTTTTAGACCAATGGGTAGTCATCTTTGAAACAACAGATGACCCAGACCTTTCAAGCAGAATTCACAGATTCACACATATCTGGGACCACAAAGTGATAACCAACTGGAAAAAAGCACCTAAACTCTGCTTTTTCTGTGATAAAGCAGGATATGTCAAGAAAGAATGTCTAGAATACAAAGCTTCTGTCGAAGCTAGAGAATTACAAAAACTTCTCAGACTTGCTAAGCTACAAGAAAAAAAAACAAACTTAGCAACAAAGTATGAGACCTCTAGAACTAAGCCCAAACAACCTATATAATGAGAAGGCTGAAGATACTATGGTAGTTAATACAATAATAACTGAATCAACTAATACAGAAGCGATCCAAGACATCAAGATAGAGCCAACTACCTCTGAAATGGAACTATTATCAAGCTCTGCTAGCGTAGATAATAACCAACCTCTAGAAATTAATCAAAGTGAAATGGAAAATACTACAGGCCAAGATAATATAGCAGTAGACCCTCTAGCAACACTTTATAACAGCACAATGTCTCCAAAAGTCAACCCTCAAACTGAGGAAATGGATGGATTTACAGTAGTTACTTCAAAGAGAAAATCTAAAAATTGCATCAAAGCTACTGCAGCAGAAGAAACCAAAATTTAGTCAGGATCTGGACTAGCCTCAAAGGCGTACAGACCCTACTAAAAACTTAATTTTTATCTCTAATTTTATTTTAATGGTTAGCAAAATCAAAATTGCTACATTAAATGTTAAAGGTTTAAACAACCCAGAAAAAGCATATAAAACATTGACATTACTGAAATCCTATCATATATACATAATTATGCTTCAAGAGACCAATTTAGAGAACTCAGATACAAAAAATTTTTAGAAAATCAATGGGGCTATAGCTCATATTTGACTTTTAAAACAGCAATACTTACAAGCAACAAAGATATCCACCTTCAATACACAGAAGAAACACACAACAGAAGAGTTATTACCATTAAATATATCTACAAACAACAACCATTTTATCTAATGAATGTATATGCACCACCTAATATCAAGGACAGAACTAGATTCTTTAACAATTGGTCCCCTCAAATTTGAAGAAAGATGCATTAATATATTAGCAGAGATTTCAATACAAATTTAGATCTACAGAACAACAGAATAAGTCAAGCTTCAATTGCAAGTAACCTCTCAAGAGAACTTCTTAAAGATCTTACAGCAGAATATATTGATTCAGCTTCAATCACAGCTGAAGAAAGCCCATTCGTCACATACTATCAGAACACTCGAGGAGGACATAGAATGGCTACTAGACTTGATTACATCTTCATCGACACCAATCATGAACACTATTGCAAAAGAGTTGACCTATTTTGGCAACTCTGATTATTTACTAGTAGAATGTGAATTGCATCTGGCTTCAGAATACCCAAGAGCTAAACAATGGCGATTTGATAAAAGATGTCTAAACAACATACTTTTTAAGAAAGATCTAACAGAAGAACTACAAGAAATTAAGGATTTATCAAAATGGGATCTTCACAAGTGTATATTACAATCAATAATAAGAGCATACAGACCTCTTCTAGCTCCAGAAAAAAAAATACAGAAGCTTCAAAAAAAATTAGCA